ATTTATTAGTGTTTAAAAAATGAGGTATAAATAAAATAAATTTTCAATGAGGACCATGGATTTATAGATTTGATATTAGCTATAAAGTATCTAGTTCAGTGGCTTATAATAAGATAGTCAAAGGATTTCTGTTCTGGAATATCTATTACGGCACTTTTTTGAGCTCTGGTTAGGTTAGGTGTGATTTTAAAGGATCCTCTTACTGAAGGTGACTATGTTGTGCATGTTATTTTAATGTAAAATGTTACTATTTATTGTATTTATTTCGCTATATAATATCTTATAATCTAAAATTATTCTCTAACGTATTGACATTTTGTAATCTGGGTCTTCTTAGGTTTTGAAAAATGTATCCTCATATCTGTGTATTATTATATCAAGTATATTTTATTTTTATCATGCCAGTGATACTGAACAATTTAATAGCTTTTGGTACCAAAAAAAACCCTATAATATCTAAGTTATAAATAAATAAATAAATAAATAGTAGGTAAATATATAAAATTACATAATTACAAAATAATTCCATGTTATTAGTTATTTAAAATATGCTATATTCACATTCATTAAATACAATTATTTTAAACTATTTGAGGTAACAGGAAGTTTTAAAATTCAATATTTTAAATATTATGATCTTTTAAAATTTATGTTATGAAAATAATTTTGTGAAATTTATTTTCAATGATTATAGAACCAGAATACATATTATATTGACTATGATTGATACTAATTTATCTACTTGAGTTTTTCGCAACATAGGTTCTATAGTAAAATTAAAGTTATATAGTTGAACATATTATTAAACGACTTCTAATAAAAAAAAAATCTAGTGATCATAGATGTAATAGTAGATATAATAGTACAATACAGTTTGTTAAATTACAAGAAATTTTACTGAATATCATATATTCATACTAATATATTATTCTAAAAACCAATTCCAGCATTTATATAATATAGTACACTATATGTACGCTATACATACAATTAATTTTGGTTTTTGTATAATTGAATTATAATATGAATCTTATCTATGACCAGGTATGATGATTTTGTAATATATATTAGAAAAATACATTTTTCACCTTTAATATTATTGAGTATAAAAAGTACACTGCACAACATCACTCGGAGCATGTAAATGTTTGTTCAATAGTTTTAGAATTGGTTGATTGTATTTCTTGAATTGCTATTATAATTTATGCTTTATTTAATTTGCCAAAGGAGATATCAAAATTAAAATAGTAGGTACAGTATTAATTTTTTATTTAATTTTGATTGATTGTCTCTTCCCTATTTTAATAAAAATTGAGTTTTTGTTTACTAATTTGCTATTAGTGGACTTGATATTATACACATATCATATTTTATTTTATTAAGGCTGAATTATTAAAACAGTTAAGTTTATTCAAAATATAAAATAACAACATAGTTTCAGCTATTATAATTAGTTATTACTTAGCATTTCTATATTTCTATATTTTGATTTGAAATTAAATATAATTCACTTAATTCTATTGAATAAATGCCGATTGCTTTTTATCAGTCCAATATTTTGGTATGATGATTTAATGAAATGTATTTGTTTGCAGGTTTACAAGGCCGGTGGCCATGTATGAACAGCTGTGGTAGAAGTTATAAAAACAAAGGTGACTTAATACGTCACATGAGAAAAGAATGTGGTATCCCTCCTCAATATCGCTGTGATACTTGCCGTAAAATGTTTAAACATGTTCATCACTTAAAGTCACATATGATTGTGGTTCATCAGAAATTATTTAAAAGCAATTAATAACAGTTAATTTATGAATACCTATGTAATATTGTAAAATGTTAAGCTTTATATGTTCTCTTTTCATTGGTCAAAAAATATTTTTATATTTTAGTTAACTGTGAATTCACTTAACATAAAAATTACTTCATGGTATCACAGATTTTTGTGCAAAACTATATTAGGAACTCTGAATAAAACGAATACAAAATAAAATAAGGTAAACCGCCATGTTTTGAGTTGGAAAAATGTCCATCAATATAAAAATTTTAAACTATTTAGAAAACATACTAAAATACAGAAGATTATATTTATTTAATGATACAAGTTCCTTATTTAGTAGTGGTAGTCAAGTGGTAAAGTGATGAGAGAGGCTAGATCCCTTCATAACCTTTTTTTCGATATTTATTATGCTTTATATTTACTAGCTGTCCTGCTTAGCATTGCTCGTATCTTTTTTTCAAAAATATGTTTGTACTCATTATAATATCTGATACCAAATGTAACTGACGCAATCCTATAAATTAAATTAAATTATATTCTTTTTCAGTTAGTTAAAAATCTCTTATGCGCTACCCTTAAGCTACTTTCAGGAGTTGATAAAAATGTATAAACATTAAACACCCTTAAAGTCTCAAAGTCTCTCATTAACAGCACAGCAGTTTTTGAGTCTCTAATTTACAGACAGGCATACAAGCATCCATTTCATTTGTTTATGTACAGGATGTTATATCCTTAGAATACAAAGTTAAATAAATCAAAAATTACTCTTACAAATTTTGATTCTGATACATCAAATTTTTCAGAAAAAAATCACTGAATAATTCACAGTTGAAAAGAGGGGTTCTCATTTGAAAAATAGATGTTTATATCTCCACAGGATCCTCTCTAAGTAATACACAAAATCTCGAGAATTTGAAGTACGGCCTTTAAGTATATAGAAAAATTCCAAAATTCAGATTTTAAATAACTGCATTATTGAAGAAAAAAGGGTGAGCATGCTTGTTGAATCACCCTGTACATATTGATCAATTAAGCATTTTTTTTTATTGATCAAATGTTGCATGTTAAAAAGTCAGCCTAATCCCCCTCCCTCCCCTAGACAAAATCATTTGACTGCCACTACTATCTAATGTAGTATTTTAGAAGTCTGTGCAGTGTGCATATCAGTGGCGGCGCAAACTTTTGAGTCTTTGAAGCAAATTGTACATTTTTAATATTTTTACCACCAACCATCCCCTTTATTATATCAAAATGATAATGTACTATGTTGAAGCTATAAATCTATGAAGCAATTGCTTCAAAGAGTATTATATCCCGCCGCCACTGGTGCATGGTATACATTACTTAGATTAGGTAGTAAATAATTACATTAAAAAAAATATTTCATTCCTGTTAACTAAATTAACTATATCATGTACCTATTAATTAATAATGTATCATGAAGAATATAAAATGATATAATTTAACCCTATATTTCCAAAGCTTAATAATATGTTCTATAAATATGCTGATTGTTTCCTTATTACCTTCTTCCTTAAAAAAATGTTTTACATAAATGATTTTTTTATTGTTGTCAATAATAGATTTTTTATTTATTATTAGTACAGCATCAACTATTAAGGTTAAGGTTTGATTAAAAAAATTACAAAATAATATAATTATTTTACACAATTGAATAAAAAATGTAAATAGTTAAATTTAATTGTACATTATGATTGATTTGGGAAAATTAAAAATTAAGTACAATTAGTCTTTAGATGGTTTTGGCAATGAACAACACGGTGTATTTGAATATCAGTTTAATCACAGATTAATGACTGTCTTTACCAATGACAGATTGTATTTCAAAATATAATTGAATTATTTCTGCAAGGATCAACACTCGTAACTTCATTAGAAAAAAATAAAATGATATTACAACTATTTTCAACTAACTTATATTGTACTCCAAAATAAAAATTACTAGTAAATATATGTTGTTTGCTAATGGCTTTTACATTATATAAAATATTTATAAATATTAATTGTTCTTAACACATAATAATATATATTATATATTGTATACATAAACATTTTATATTTATTAATAATTATATTTTCACATGTTTAGGTAATTTTTCAAGGTGGCCGTGCTGGAATGGATGTGGTCGAAGTTATAAGTACAAATATGATTTAAGTAGACATATAAGAAAAGAATGTGGAGTTGAACCCCAATACATATGTAGAGTTTGTTCAAAAGCATTCAAACGAAATGATCATTTAATAGTTCATATGACTAGGCATTAAACAACCACAATAACAACTATTTTTTAAATTTAACTCATGAGAGTGAGTATAACAGTAGGAATTAAATTTTACTTCACATTGTTAAATTACTTTCAGGTATACTAGGTAATTCTTTAACAGTGAACAGTAAATATATTGAATAATATTAATTTTTGTTTTTACTGCTTAAAAAATGAACCTGTATAAAATAACAAAGGTATAACAGGTGGTAAACTGGTTGTTCATTTTACTTTTACTATACTTACATTCATACCACTAAATAAAATATGTTTTATATTATTATAAAATGTAATTATATTTTACAACTATGAACTAATAGTTTCAATTAATTAAATAAATAAATAAATATAATAAATTATAATAAGTTTGATAAATATATTTTATAGATTAAAAAATAAAATAATATAAATCTTTGTTCTGTTTTAGATCACTACGGAAGACCTGTTTTATAAATTCAATTTTTTTCAATTGTTTGTAACACAATTGAATAAATACTACAGAAATACATACTGTATATTTATTATGTATTATGTAATGTACTGAGAAGTTAAAACTCTAATATATCTAGGATATATCTTATTTGTTCTTTGAAAATTTAAATTCTATGACATTAAATGATAACATATAAAACGTGATTTTATTATTGACCTACCTCATATTAAATTAATATTATTATTTACTAATATTATTATTTATTACATAGAATTTCTTTAGGTTTTATTTATTTTAGTGACATATTATGTTAAATCATCATTCAGTTATAGAAAACTCGAAAATAATTTATTTTGTTGAGGCAACTGCCTTTTTCTTAATAATATAAATTAAAGTGACAGATTATTGCATCAAAATCAAAAATATTGTGTCCGATATTAGATTAATGTAATTGACTTTCAAAGAAATGTTAAAATCTAATAAATGCATTTCTATATAGTAAGGAATGAATGGTAATTATGTTATATTCAAAAACGATATATTGTCATTATTGTTAACATCCATTATAGCTAGTGTAAAGGGTAGGTTGGTTTTTTACTCTTAACCAGAGATAAAGTAGTTTCCAACCAATAAACACAACAGCTTAAAAATATATTATTTTTATTTATTAACTCAGCAATGATTCACCCAATTTAACAAGCCTGGATATTTTCTTCGTGTGGTCTGCCAAACTAACATATTATGTATAATAAATGTTTTAACATAAATAGTAACAATATTTATTATGATTACTAATAGAGCAATATAATTTGGTTTGTTTTTCATTTTGATAAATAGGATTGTTCCAAAAGTCAAACTTATTGAAATTGCCATGTCCGAATAACTGTGGACGATCATATAATCATCGTGGAACATTGCGCAGACATCTGAAGTATGAATGTGGGGTACCTCCACAGTTTAAATGTGAATACTGTCCTAGAACTTTTGCCCAAAAAGTTAATCTCAACAAGCATCAAATGGCTGTACACAAAAATATTTTGGATGCAATGAGCATGTGCTTTGTTGAATTATGTGAAAATTAAGATTCATAATAGATGTATAGTTGGTTAATTTTTAAGAATTATTGAGTCTATTGTCTAGTTATGTTTAGTTATATACATTGAACCCTGATGGGAACTAATTTTTGTATTATATTTCTAAGTATAATGTTATTTATTATGGTATTTGAATTAAAATAATTGTTATTTTATTTTATTTTTATTTTTTGTTTCAACATAACATATTGTAATACATATAATATAATAAACCTAACGCTAAAGTTCAAAATAAAGTTATTTACATTATAAGATCTTAAAATAAACGTGAATATTATTTTATAGTTTGATTATAGTTTATATTTAAAAAATAATAATATTATGTAGGTTGTAGGTACTATACAAACTATATATTATATTATATTTTTATAATAAACAATCGTCACCACAAACTAAAAGATTATCAAATAAATTATACAAATTTTACACTAAATATTATTTACATTTTATAAATGTAAATTTAAAATCATAATATTCTTAAGTTAATCCATTTAGGTGTCTATACTCATTATTACAAAAAGTTTTAATTTCTTTGAAAACTTGTTTTTTTTTTATAAATTTTCATGTAATTCCAAAAGAATATGTTAAAAAAAAAGTATTATTTATTAATATTTTTTACATTTTTATCATTTTTGTGGTTGTTTTTTTACTTTTTGAAATGAAAATATACATTTTTAACTATGGCTTAACTGTTAAAAAATAACTGAACAATTAAATTACTAAAACCACTTTAATAATTATCTAAGCTAATATAAAGTGGTAGTTATGATTTTTATATAACATATAAAACAAAGTATAAAAGTATAAAAATGTATTATTTGTTTATTTTTAACTTTTTGTTTTTTTTAATGCATAAATACAAATATTTGAAGAGCAATAAATTAATTATCAAATAATCGAATAATTTGTTCATTATTAATGGAATAATATATTTTATGTATTTACTTACTTAACTTACTAAGTAATAACTCAAGTCTCTTCAAAAATTACCTACAGTTACCTCCAGGCCCGTTCAAAGATATTTTGTCGTCTAGGTCCACCCCATGGATCCTTTTTTAACTTTAGTAACCATGGATCTTTTGGAAACGTAGGTTAATTGTGACTTCCTCCCCACCTTGCGAACAGCCTTGATTACTACATCAATAATATTTTTATAAGTATTATATTTTATCTCTAATAATATTGACTTGAATAAAAAAATTCTGTCATATACTCATAAACATTTCAGTTCTATCATTACATTATTCAATAATTCTTTATTTCAACTATAAAAATTCACTTAACTCAAATATTTTTTTTTTCAGATTCTTCTGCCGTATTATAAATGGATTTGTACAGCATCAAATTTCATGTAACCATATACATTTATATATATATTTTTTAAAGTATACCTAAATTCTAATAACTGATAATGATGTTTAAAACATTATTTGATTTGATTACTGAAGTAGATTGTTCAATAGTATATTTTAGAACTCATGTTCTAATATTGTGTGCAGTATGATATAATATACATTATACAGAATTCAATCACAACTATAACATTTCAAATTGTAAAAGTATAAGTAATTTTGTTTTTGTTGTTAGTGAAATACAAAATTTTTTACCAATATTTTTGAGCACTTTCCTTGGTAACTTCTATACTATTAATGAAAATCTATTATTTTCAGAAAGATATTGATTTTTTAATATTTTTTATTCATTCGGGTTACTTGATTCAATTTAAAAATATGTATGAATTATTGAAAAGTTTTCTATTATGTAATAACTCATAAGTTTATATAAATTTGTAATTTCTTTAGAAAAATGACATAATTGACTCATTAGATGTAATATTTTATGAGTAATCAAAGTACATTTTTAGTACCATATTATTTATGCCCCTATAATAACATTATATTTTTCATTGTATTTTATCAATACTGGAGCTTAAATTAAAACAAATCCATTTCAATATACTGGTTACAGGCACACCGCACACATCATTAAAAGATAAGATGACAATTGTTGAATATTTGTATATGACTTAAGATTGAAAAATTGTACAGTTTAACACTGATACAATTTAAGAAAAAAAAATCAATCAGTAGGTAAAAGTACCTGTCTAATCATTTTATTGGTATTATTAGTAAAATTTTAGTTATACTTAAATTAAATACAAAAACATTTCCAAATGTGAATAATAATGTGTTGTAATGTAATTATACCATATTCCTACTGCTAATTACTAGGTATCTAGAAGCCAAGATTTAATCAAATATTAAGTACTAACTGTAATTTGTTGCACTACTCATTGGCCAACAACTTGTCGTAAAATCAATTAATTGCTAAACTTTTGAATTTTAATGGTATACAAATTAAGTAACCTAATTAATAAAAAGTTATTACCTTAGTACCTATGTATAAAATGTCAATGTATGACAATAGAACTAGTATTGTTGGGTTCTTCTTATTGTATACTATTTTTTTAGAATTAAATTATTTAATGTTTTTCTAAAAACTTTGTTATGTTACTTACTAATACAAAAAATTGTTTGATATGAATTAGCAATAGGTAGTACTTTTATCTTATATTGTATTATTTATTTTAGCGGTAAAATAAAATAAATCGCTTCGCTTAAAATAAATCATTATTTGGCTTTTGTACTACGTTTTGTGTATTGAAGACGTACATAGTACCCATTTACTAATGTAAAAACTCTATGATTAATTTTAACTCGTTGTCTTGCAGGTATATTATTAGAAAAACTAGAAACAATTGTTGTTGATGATCCTGCTGTATGTCCGAATGGATGTGGTCATAAATACAAAGGCAAATGGCGGAAATATAATTTGAAAAGTCATCTGATGTATGGATGTAGAGTACCTAGACAATTTCAATGTAAAATATGTTGTAGAACCTTTGTACAGAAAGTCAGTCTCAAGACACATGTAGCAAAAATTCACAAAGTTATTTATGAATAGATAATATGTTAATATGTACCTTATACTTATCTAAAATTATAAGTTATTATTGCTAATACTTCAAATTGTGTGGATATTATGCTAAATACATACAAACAAGAGATTTTCTAGTTTAATGTACACTAAAACAGAAATAGGTAATAATAGTAACTGTAATACATTGGAATTGTATTGATTCCACCAAAGCTCTTTTTATTAGAAGAAAGGTACATTTGATTCCACTTCAAATGCCAACAGTTAATTAGGTACCTAGTCTATTATTTTGTAGAAATACTTATATGATATGCATATATTACCTATACTAAACATTAAAATATAACAAAAAAACCACCTACTTAGTTGTATTTACTTTAAAATATGTTTTATAGTTTTTATATTAATTGTATGTTGATATTTTGTATGAGCTTATTTTCTAATAAAACACACATACCGTATACAGTTGTCTTTTTATAATTTCACTATTTTAACATAATATTCTAAAAGTAATTATGTATGAATTTTCAGATATTGGACCATACTCATTGAAGAGTTGGAATAATGATTTACCACACAATAACAGAAATAAAAGATTAAACATTAACATTGATCATTCAAATTTGAAGCTAAAATTGTTGTACGAACTTCGAATGGAAGTGTTAAATAAACAGCTTGAACAAATTATGTATCAAAGCCGACACCAAGAAAAATAAATTTAATTTTATGAAACTGAAGATCAAACACGTTACTCAGATTTTTTCAATTGAATTTTAACTTTTCATAGAACCAATATTGTTAATTTTACTATAGTTGTGTAATTTATCAATTAAACAAAAATATAAATATGTACGATTGATAGGTTGTACCTATAGCCATATTATAATTAATAATACTGATGTAATTAGGTATAGGTACCTTCAATCTAGGTACTTATTGTTGTAATCAATACCGCAACTGCAACGTAAGTGCCTAGTCACTATTATTATTTATTTTTAATCACATCTAATTAATAATATTAGTTTATTACTGTTTAATAACTAATAGCTGAATACTATTTATAAATTATAAGACTATGAATTCTGGCTGCTCCACGCCTCCACTGGTATAGCTGGTACTATTTTATAATAAATACTCAAACATTTATTTTTTTAAACAGAAATCAAATACATCAATTTAATTATAAATTGTTATTTAAATAAAAGATTTTACTTTCTACAGTAGGGGGGTAAATACTTGATACTTATAAATATTTGACATTTGAATAACTTTCCTTAATAATATTTTATAATAATACTTAAGGGTTTATTAAGACTAATATTCTATTAGGTAGGTATGTAGATATTTTGCTAAATTGACTTTGTTCATTCCTTTGCAGTCTGCATAAATAAGATATTAGTTACTGTCATGGGAAAAAATAGGAGAAGTGTTTAGGGACCAAGGCCCTCCTAATAATGTCCTAATATTTTTTTATGCTTATTCAATACTACTATAATAGGGCCCCCTAAATCTCAAACAATATCAGTGTTAATCCAGCTGGATTAGTATAGTGGTCACTGTCCACTGAATAGGTTGGTACCTATTTTTTTTTATTATAAATTTAATAGTAGGCACTTATATGGTTTACTAGCCTACCACCTATATAAATGTTATAGGTACCTACCTATAATATTATGATTAGTAAACTATAAATTAGGATTATTGTTAAAGACAGAAAAAATAATTACTTCAATATTCGACTTATTACGAACTTAATTATATGATTTTAATGTCCATTGAGATTTCAGTTTTATTTTGTATCATAATCAATTATTTTACCTACTGTATAATAATATAGTCTTTGAATGTTATAAAATCAAATGTTTACCCGCAGTCTGTAAATTATAACATAATTGATTACCTATAATATAATACATAAATAGCTCATAGCATTTCAAAAAGCCCTTTATTTTTATATTTAGTACGTCTTACACATTTTATGTCGGAAATCGGGACTAATACGCAATATATGTATGTTATGTTTATGTGTGGTCATAATTTAATTTTAGTTTTCGTTATTTATAATATAATAGGTATAATATATCTATAATATTATATTTGTATGTTAAATAATATATTTTATGTGTGGCATGTGCTAACTATATTGTTATATTGTTTTTGTAAAAGTTTTAATCAATTAGGTTATATAAAACCCTTGGATAAC